GAGTTCCACAGAGGTCCCATCTTGCCTTCCCTCTTGTGCAAAGTATATGCAATATCAAAGCAGCCCTTTTTAAACAAGCACAGTCTGGGCTCCTCCAGAGAGTCCAGCTGGCCCCTGGCTTTGTTTTCATCTCTTTTGATCCAGATGCTGTAAATTTAGTGCATAGCTGATACCAGAGCAGAGAGGGAAGGGATCAGGCTGATCCTAGTAAACCTGGAGAAAGCAGCTGGGTGACTGAAAGGTGCCCACCCTTCCATCTTCATGTTCACCACATGCAGGCTGGCTGCATGTCAAGTGTTTGCTAGCTGATCAAATAGCAGCAGCATGCTTCTCCTTTATTTGCTGCTGGCTAAGATGATGCACACTTGCCATAGACTTGGTCTCCAGTTTTAAGGCCAGAACGAATGATTCTCAACATCTAGCCTGGCGTCTTGCAAATGCAGGCCAAAGAAACCTCACCTAGTGACTTCTGCATCATACCCATCATGTCTGGGTTAACCCTAACATTTTAGAAGAGCATTCAGTCTTGATTGGAAGACTTCACAGGGCAGATAATCTGTTGGACCCCACAGATAAGATTCTGTTGCTCCCCACACCTCCCTCCCCCAAAAAGCATACCCCTGTGGGATAACCTTTTGTGCTTTTGTCACCTCCAAGTTAAGGTCATTGTCCTGAGCTCAGCACGGGGCTATACGCTGAAGCCCTTTGGAAACAGAACTTGATGCAAAAATACAGGCAGCCCACACTGTAATCAGAGTGTCTCGTTGTTGGCCTGTTCTGTCGTGCTCTGGACCTGCACTGGCTGCCTGTGGATTTGATCTGTAGAGCCTCAAGCAGCCTGACCCTTACCTCCTTGAAAGATGTCTCTCTCCCGGCACAGCTGAGACCAGAGTAGCATTCAAAGTGGGGCTCCACTGGTTTAACAGAGAGGGAGCTGCCAGCCAGCCACTTCCTTAGGCACTCACTCCTCACCCCACTTCAAATTAACTTAAATATGTTGTCCACCAGGGCACGATACAGGGTTAATCCTTTTAAAGAAAGCTTTTGGAGGAGATCAAGGTGGAGGGATTATATTTAAGGAGTCCTTTTCCCTTTACAAAGCGGCTTGATTGTTTGCTGCTTTATATAGCTAAGGTTGCTGCTGGTTTTTTTTTATCCTTCCTGTTTAGATGGCTTTCAAGCAATTGTCAAAGGTGTTTAGTGCTTTGGAGAGGGACCTTATTTGTTGGTTTGCTATAAAGCTAAATAAATACAGCGCTGGAAGGCAGCACAAATAGCACTGCCAGATACAAAAGCATCAAGATTGCCTAACAAAATGAAGTAAATAGACAGTGCCTCTGATTTTATAACTGGTGCCATAGATTAGTACTAAACAAATGCTTATCTCTCTCCATCTCCACACCTTATCTGAAAAATGGGGATTGTAGTACTTCGTCCCTTTGTTTGTCTTCCTAATTAAACCTGTTTCTCATGGAGCGGGCAATGGGCCTTGCTGCGCGTATGTGTAGGGCCTTCAGATGAAGGTCCTGATCTCAAAGGGGATCTCTAAGTGTTACTGGAATATAGGCAATGCGTGGATGACCGTATTCCCTGAAAGCAGCTAAATGTACAGGCCTAATGGAGATTGCGGCTGAGGCATATACCTGTCAGACAAAGCAATGCTATCAGCCCCATGCTTTCATCCCCGCCATCCTCTTCCTTTTTTCCCACCCCTTGCAAGGTAATAAATCTTTCCCTTAATCTCTGTGGCTGATGTTTCTGAGCACATTTAATTAAGTACATCTTTAACTCCACTCTCCTCGGCCACCTCTCATCATTCATCTTGCAGAGGGCAGACTTCATGGGAACAGGAGGAGGTTAGAAACTCCCGGGTTTGGGTGGAAAGAGACCAGCATAAAGTGAATGGTTCTTCTGGATACTTCTTGCTCACTTGATGAGAGGTTATTTGGACATGAGGAAAAGGGGAAGAAATCCCTGGAATTCAGTCAAGCACGACCACAGTCAAGCACTGTCCCAGTGACAGGTAGGTACTATGGTGATGGGGCCAAGTGAATGCCTAGATAAGAGAGAAGTGCGGTGCGACTTGTGACCAGTCCCTGATGCTTGTGTGCTGCTTTATGCAAGGCGTTCCTCACCAGGTAGCCTCTCCTAGCCCACTTTCCTATTTCTTTGGACTATAGTACTGTGACTTGAATTTCTGGCTCTGAAAACCCCCTGGGCCCACAAAAGCCAGGTGTTGCAATGCCATCCATAGAGGGCAGAATTTCTGCTGCGTATTCTGAATGAGCCATGCAGCAGGAGCTTTCATTCGTCCCTGAGCTTGTCAGAGATAACTTGTACTTGGGTGGAAGATACAGTTTGTCTTGCTATTGTGAGCCGCTGAGTGCGTAGGTAAAAACAGGCCCCTTGACTAACCTGGGCCTGTTAGCATCAAGCTTCATCTGAAGTTCTGCAGAGCCATGAGGTTTTTTAGGAGCTGTAGGAAGGGATGGAAAGGTTTGGGCATTTCTTCTGCTTGAGTGTTTATGGTGATGTGTTTCCTCGCTGCCGACTGTATTGCCCAGCAGGACCAGAACCATGCAACTTTGCGTGAGGCTGCAGTGGGCACGTTCTGGGTTGTGGGAATGGGGATACCAGCATACTTTGCTACTATCTGCTGCACTGATCCACTGGGCTGGGTGGGCCAGTTCTTAGGAGGCCCCTCTGGGCATTACTGCCCGTGAATCTGAAGGGAGGGGGACAAAGGCAGGAACATTTCTTCCCCTCTCACTTGATGTTGTCTTGTTCTGAGTACTTGACCACTCTCTTTTCATAAAGATTTACCAGCACTTCCATCCCACTTTCAAGTTTGCTTGACTACCTACAGCTAGTTCTTTCCCTCGCTGTGCTGACTAACATCTGGGGCAAGAGGAATTACGGTGACTGCTGGACAGCATGTGTGCACACATTTATGAACCTGAGGGATATTTATACACATAACTTTTCGCCCCATGGTGCACCGGAGATCCGGTGAGTCAGAGCAGACTTGATTAATCGAGTGGGGTAGGGGAGTAATGCGCTGCGTTACTTCGCATGCAGTTGTATAAGCACCGAAATGCGTGTCAGCATGCAGAAAATGGCAGCAGTGTGCTTTTGAACTAAAACGCCTCCGATGTGTTTTAGTTCAAAGCTGACATTTTCTCAGCACTGACGTGCATTTTGCCGCTTATACTCCTGTATGCGCCACAGCGCTGGGTGCTTTCAAAAGCATCCAGCACTGCAGCACAAGCATGTATACAAATGCCCCTGGTGGTGCATACAGGCAACCTCTTCTCAGCGCTCTTAATTGGTTCCTGAAAAACCGAGCGTTAAGTGAAACAAGCATTAAGCAAAATCGAAAGTATTTGACGATCCAAGATGGCGACCACAACTGTTTTTAATGACCCAAGATGGAGACTGCGAGCGTTATAATGAAACTCGCTGAGCGCTAAGTGAAGTCAGGTATCAATTTAAAATGAGTGTTATAGCAAAATAGCACTAAGCGAAACAGCGTTAAGCAGGGGTTGCCTGTACAGCTTTGTCAGGACCTGGAATACATCCAAATACATGCTATTAAATAAATGCTACCAAATACATCCCTGTCTGGACTTGGGGAATTCAACCTTTGAGGAAACGTATTGCTCCCATCCATTCCTCTGTTCCAGTGGTCAGACCCATATCATTACTGGAACGGGGGTGCCAGTGGAGGTCCTTGAGACTCATTTCTCCTAAATGATGGAAAGAGAAATTTCTTGGGTCATTAACAGCAGTTTGCCTTTAACCAGAGGAACTCATGAAAGCTAATTTTAAAAGTTCCATGAGAACAGCCCATTGCTGAAAAGAGCATGGTGATTATTCAGCTACCTGAGGAGAGGCCATGATTATGATGTGACAATGGAGTCTACAGTCACAGCAATTCAGTTCTGAACAAAGGGAGGCCCTGCCTGCTGGAATGCATTCTGGGATCAGGGGCCTCTGTGTATGGAAAGGGGGAGAACATGTATAAGAATATTAGAAATGATGGACACAAAACACTAATTGTCTAATTTCCCCTTCCTCTTGATGTAACCAGTAAACACAGTGTTCTTTTAGTTACAGCTAACTGACTGATTCAGAAAGAGATCTGTGTAGATTTTAATGAGCAAAGATAGTGATCTCATTCGGCTGTAATACGAGGAGACATAGTTTTATTGTTCCCAGGTATTCAGCCAAATACCAGTTGCTTCATGAAAACAATCACAAAGTCAAGAATTTCCCAAACTTTGCCACAGAATAGTTCTTTGTTGTAATGTTCACATCATGCCAGAAAATGTTTAACTTGCTGTTCATTATCTACTATCCTTTTTTAATGATATTTCTGTGTAAAACCCGTAAGGCAGCTAATCGCAGATCAGAAGCAATACCCTATGACTTAACTCCTCACACACCATAAAAAAGCTAATTTCCAATAAGATGTGGGCTGATACTTGATGGCATGAACCGTTTGGCAAATATCTGCAACTGATGACTCACAGACCAAATAATACAATAATTTGTCCCCAGAGAATAATTTGACCAGCCTTCTTCACAATGTGTGATATGCAATGGCATGACTCAACATTGCAGTCTTGTCTCCTCACATCAGCATTACCCAAGACATGACGCCAGCTAACTCCAAATGGCGGAGAAGTGAGTTATAAGCATCCATTATGAAGCATTTAAAGTCTTGTGTTTAAAAGCCCGTTAAATCTGGCTCTCCTGTCCAGAATCCAAATTCTCTGTTTGGCCTGTGACTAAAGAGGCATTTTCCCATAGAGCTGTCCTTTTCTGTGTCTTCTCTGTTCACAAGTCCCCACTTTGCAGACAAGATGACATGTTAGTCGCAGCATCTGAGAAGCAGAGCTTTGGAGTGTGAGCAAGAGGGAACTTGGCCATGGTGGGCGTGAGCTGAGTTTGAGTGGAAGGTATTGTGGAAAGTGACTGGCAGTGCTTTTGAAGATGACATGCAGTCAGCCCTATCCAAGATCTAGCTGTTTTATAATGGCTTTTCCTTGGCAATGCAAAATACTTGAGAGCTTTGCTTGAGCAGTAGATATGGACAAATCATTCCAGTTCATAACCTGATAGGCAGAATTGCAAACTGGCACCTAATGAACAATAGTGACAGTCCTGTTGGAGAGAGTGCTTTCAATATTACATTAGGCAAGATGATTTATCCTGCCTGTGAGGCTGAGACAAACTCAGGAGAGATGTTCTCTTGGGCTTCCTGATTCTCTTTGTTTTCATTTATCTAAGAGATTAGAGCTGTGGTGAAAAGTACTGTATTTAAAATCCCAGATGCTGAAGGCTTCTGTTTCCCTGAAGAAAATGCAGAGGATGGGTGGTAGCAAATCAGTCTTTCCTACATTGGCTCTGCCTGGTCTGAGACTACTAAGAGGATATCTAGTTAGCCCAATGGTGATGGCATTTTTCCCTCTATGGACTCTGGGACTGAAATACCTAAACCAAAGATTGTTTATATCCCACACATTCTCTTCTCACTAGGGCTAGGGACAGAAGTTGCACATAAACTGGTTTAAGTGATCAGTAACTGGTTTAAGCCTGTAACAGAACAGAAGCTCAGTGCACATAAACCAGTTTCCAAATGGCTGAAACTGGTTAAAGATAAATCTGGTTGAATGTAGTATCAGACTTAACTGATTTGGGTCAAACCGGTTTATAGAACTTCTGTCCCAGACCCCTTCCTGGTTCAAGTTAAATCACAGTCCCCCAGCATCCCAGCATGCTTTCCAGCCCTGGGCTGTGCTATGCTGTCTGCTCCAGAGAGCAGGGATGGCTCCACCCCTCTGCTTCCTACCTAGAGCAGTCAGGTCTGGCTGACAAGGGGATGGGGTGGAGGGGCAAGCCTGGCTGGGCATGCAGCACAGTCTGCAGGGGAGGGGACTGCCCCGTTCCCCGCCCCCACAACAAGCCCTGGCTAGAGGCTGGGGCCAGGGAGGGGGTTAAACATCTCTTCCCCTGCTCAAAATTACTGCTGGCTGCAACTCTGGATTACAAATCCCAGGAAGCAGAAAGAAGTGATGGGAAACCCTGCAGAGTCCTGATATTGTGATTTTGGACTGAAAATGCCAGAGACCTCAGGGGCAGCAGGAAGACAAAGTGAACACAGCCAGAGACCCATGCTCTATCACCTCCCAACTTCTGGCCTGAGCCACTGCAGATATGTGGCTGCATTTCCTGCAGCAAAGGTAAATGTCTGTTTACTTCTGTTTCAATTTAATCTGTGTAGTTTAGACTAACCTGCAAAGACCAAATTGATTCAGCCTCAGGCTGTTTGACTCTCTGTACTTAGCTTAGAGCAGAGAAAAAAGAGGGTCATAAACTTATAGGCTAACAATGGATGACTTTTATTGCCTTCTGGACTACAGCAAACTATCTAAGAGCCTAGTGTTTGTCTGATGTTGGGCAATATTGGGCACTCAAAGGAATGCAGAAACCACTCCTAGTGCTCTTGAACTCACCTCTCCCTAGTAGCTGCCTGTCTGTTCCCTCCTAAAAGTCACAATACATTAATAGGCAGTATGCAGGAAATGCATGGCCCACACAGCAGCCAGCCTTTGCCTGACCTTTCACAGAGTACTGCTGCTGTCTCCCCAGCTTCTCTCTCCATACAAAAGTAGCACATGGTGCCTGGAGCCAGCAGCCCTGTTCCATAGGTGAGGGGTCCTTAACAGTGCAGACATCTGGTCCACTTTGAAGGAAGAAGGATAAGCAAAGGATAGAAATTCTTCTTCACTCCCTCCCAGTCTTTATTTCCTTCCTGAATTTCAGCCAGCATAGATCTTACAGCAGAGAATTAAACAAATCATCACAATAATGAATAATGCTCCTAACAATTGGGTAGGACCTTTTCATCCTAAGGAACCTAGCAACTAGGGCTGTGCAAAATGGCAGCCTTCTGTTTTGACTAGTTTTTCAATGTTTCAATGGAACAGCATTTCATTTTGAATTTTGTTTCAATTCAAACAGCTGTTCCATTTTGTTCCGTTGAAACAGGGTCGAAATGGCAAAACTGTTTCAACATTTCGCCCATAGGATATAATGGGGAAGGACAAAACAGCTTGTAACTTTGTCATTTCTGGCTTGATTTGGATGAAACTTGCAGGAATAGGTGTCCCCTTCTAAGGGCATGAAGCCTGCCAAGGTTCAAAGAGATAGGTGCTGGGGGGTTGGGGAAACTGCACCCCAAATTTTTAAAGCAAAACTTGTGTTACATGTATGTGTTAAGCAAAAAGTGGGGTCAAAACTGCAGGCCTGCTAGCCCTTGCTCAGGCCATGAAGCCTGCCAAGTTTCAAGGAGATAAGTGCAGGGTTTTGGGAGAAATTGCACCTCAAGCTGCAGACAAACAAAATTTGTGACATGGGTGACACTGTGTGTGTTAAGGTGCAGCAGGGTGAAAGCTGCAGGGGTGGTAGCCACTGCTGCGGCCACAAAGCCTGCCAACTGTCAAGGAGATAGGTGCAGGGGGGTCCTGGGGTCCTGCACCCCTAGCTGCTGACAGACAAAACTCATGACATGGGTGCTCGTACTAGCTGTGTTATGCACTCAATCATGATTCGCTCAGGGACCAGCTCAATACACAGTAGCTAGTGTGGATAATGAGTTAATAAGCAAGGATTAACACTTATAAAAACATAGAATAAGGAGAGGACAGAATCAATACAGAGCCAAGAACTGCTTCTGCCTCAAGACAGAGACAGTCAGTTGCACAAGCACACATCACAAGTTTTGCCTGTCAGCAGCTAGGGGTGCAGGGCCCCAGAACCCCTCTGCACCTATCTTCTTAACAGCTGGCAGGCTTTGTGGCCACAGCCAAGCCTGCAGTAGTTTCCCCCCACCCTCCCATGCCTGAAGACAGACACAGTTGCACAAGCACCCATGACACGAGTTTTGCCTGTCAGCAGCCAGAGGTGCAGAGCCTCAGAACCCAGAAGCCCTGCACCGATCTCCTTGACAGATAGCAGACTTTGTGGCCTCAGCAGGAGCTAGCAGGCCTGCAGCTTTCACCCTGCTGTGCCTTAACACACACAATGTCACCCATTTCACAAGTTTTGCTTGTCCACAGCTTGAGGTACAGTTTCCCCCAAACCCCTGCACCTATCTCCTTGACACTTGGCAGGCTTTGTGGCCTCTTCAGGTGCTACCATGCCTGCAGTTTTGACCTCACTTTTCTCTTAACACATACAACTGACATGAGTTTAGCTTTCAGGAGTTTGGGGTGCAGTTTCCCCAAACCCCCTGCACCTATCTCCTTGACACTTGTCAGGCATCATGCCCTCAGAAGGAGCTACCATTCCTGCAAGTTTCATCCACATCAGGCGAGCAATGACAAAATTATAGGTTGTTTTGTTCTTCCCCATTATAGCCTATGGGCGAAATGTCAAAACAGCATCGAAGCAGCGAAACATTTTGACTTGCCTTGTTTTGTTTTGAGGCTGTTTCAACTAGATCTGTTCCATTTCCATTTTGCTGTTTTGACCTCAAAACAGGTTGAAACAGTGTCAAAACAAAACAGGTGGCGAAATTTCGCACAGCCCTACTAGGAACTGTCTGAATGGATTGCAGCATGGGTCCAGCCCAGCCAGTGTCCTGTCTCCTGTAGTGACCAGAATTAGAATGCTTCAGAGAAAGATGCAGGAAACCCCACAAAGGATAATTATGAAATAATTTTCCTCTAGGGGAAGTTTGTTCCTAACGTCACTAGTAAATTGCTGGCTTATGCCCTGAAGCATGAGGATTTATACCCCTTATAATTAGTTTTTAGTCTTTCTAACGTGACTGTGGATATTGCAGAAATGGATACTGTCGTATCTGGCTGGATCTTTGTGCGTGTGTATGCATGTGTGTTGAATATAAATCGATCCATTTACCTAATATTGATGTTCGACTACCTTTGGAGTGGAAATACTGACAATGACTGTAGGCTAACAACAGTAGCAACCCCAGAGAACAGAGTAGACCTGGAAGAAGAGAATACTGTTTCCAACTGACCATATGGTGTAGGAGGGATATACACAGCCAAAATGCAATTACCAAGGTTGGAATTTAGCCTGGATGCTGGGACCTGACACCC